ATGCACCCCAGTGTTCATAGCAGCATTATTTACAATTGCCAAGATACGGAAGCAACCTAAATGTCCATCAACTGATGAATGGATAAAGAAGATGTGATATATATATATATATATATATACACACACACACACACATACATACATATATATATATATATATGTATATATATATATGATAGAATACTACTCAGCCATAAAAAAGGAATGGAGTTTTGTCATTTGCAGCAACATGAATGGACTTAGAGGGCATTATGCTAAGTGAAGTAAGTCAGACAGAGAAAGACAAATACTGTGTAATATATGTGAAATCTAAACAATAAAACAAATTAGTGAATACAACAGCAGCACCAACTAGTCTTAGTTTTTCAAATATATCATATTTGCCTTTGCACATAGTTTCCTTTGCCTGTCATGTCTGCACCTTCTTCTATCCTTCCCTAATTGGCTTTTGTTTATACTTTTATTCTCAGCACAGTCACTTCGTTGATACTCCCTGACACTCCCCAACCTGGGTCACATATCCAGCATGGGTCAGTCTCTCAGTTAGAGGAAGTTAATGCTCCCTCAGTGGGCATCCCTTTCCTTCAGCTATTGTTTTGTTGTGACAATTGTTGAGAAAGTGATATCTGATGCCTACTACCAAGAACAGGAGTCCCAGGATGTCAGCCAGCTACATGGTTTGCCAAGAAAGTCATGACTCTCACAGGCTCTGGATGGAACAACACTTTCCTCCCATAGACAAGAGACAGAGCAAGAGGAGCATCAATAGCCAGCATCCATCCCCTATGGTTGGCAGGCCAGATCTTATCCCACAGCCACGACCTGCACACACCCCTTTTGTGCTACGGATGAAAGAACCCCTCCACCTCCCCCAGGGGGTCTGAAATACAGAAAGCTGGGGGCATGCCTGAGGCCCATTGACCCACACGCTCAAGCAGAACAAAGAAGTACACATCAAACCTGGAACAGGGGAAGATGTTCTGTAGCAAAGAGGTATGGCTAGTACAGGCTGTGAGGGCTCTTCATCTCTTTTAATGTAATGTTCCAGGCCCAAGGCAGCCCTTCTAGGCAGGAGGCAAGAAGCTGCTCATGATGCCTTTCCCAACAGTAATTTCTGATAAGTCTGTCTCTGCCCATTAGACAGTAAATTCCATGCAAGTAGAAACCATGCTGTTCTTACTCAGCATTGTATTCTCAATGTCTACCACAGTCAAGTAGCTAATGAACTCTCAATAAATATGTGTTGTAAGAACAGGATGCACTCTTACAAATTAAGGATATTAACCCTTTGACTATCTTATGTGACACAAACTTTCCCCCAGCTTTCCATTTAAAACTCCACATTTTTATAAGTGACTGTTTCTGACTGCATGCTGAGTCTTGTAGTATCTAAGTTGAATAGAAGATTTCTATTTGTAGATAGTCCACAGCTATCTAAAACATAGACCAGAGGGACAACTGGGTTATCCAAGGGAGTGCTAGACTGCTATCTAGGAAACCTGGCTCTTAGGCTCAACTGTTCTAATTACCAGTATCTACGTGACCCTGTACACATCTCTAGACTTCCAGAATCCTCAGGTTTGCTTGGGTCTTTTTAACTGTGAAATGGAGGCATTGGGTAGAATCTGTGTATGATTCCATTGGTTTTGAAAGCTCAATGCTTCAAAATAATGATGTACGTCATGAGCACAATGGGAATGGTTTTCTCTGAATTTATGGTTATGTAACATTTTTGTAGGTGGAGCATTGTAGACCAAGAAGATTGTTTCCATCTGGTATTTCTTTTTTTTTTCCATCTGGTATTTCTAAAAATCCATATTAGTCTGGATTATCTAGAAAAACAGAACCAATTATACATATATATATAAATCATATATATATGCACATATATGAAATTAATACATATGTGTATATGATATATAAAACCATATATATGATATATATGGATTTATATGTGTATATGTATAATCATGTATGTGATATATACTATATATATGATATGTAAATATAATCTATATGTGATTTATTGTGAGGAGTTGGTTCATGTGGTTAAGGAGGCTGAGAAGTGCCAGAATCTTCAGGTGACAAGTTAGAAACCCAGGAGAATCAATGGTGTAATTCTGGTCTGAGTCCGAAGGCCTGAGAACCAGGAGAGCTGACAGTGTAAGTTTCAGTTTAAGTCCATGTCTGAAGACAAGAGAAGACGAATGTCCCAGCTCAGAGATGGTCAGGCAGAGAGTGTATTTCCCTTCCTCTACCAGTATGTGTTTAACCAGGTATCTGAGCATTTGATGATCCAGTCAAGTTAGCACATAAAATTTACCATTACAAAATCCAATTGCCTTTTCTTGAATTCTGTGATTTCTATGGCTCCAGATCCTGGACTTGCAGGGGTGACGTTATAT